CTCTTGATCTTCGTCCGTGGCCACGAAGGTGATTGCGAGGCCCTTTTTGGCAGCGATTTCAATGGATGTTTGGCAACTAAAACCAGCTGAAAATTGTAGATTTTCACCAACGATGAATGGGGATGGATTTTGCGGCAAAAATGTGGAAGCGAAAAGACACGGATTTAAGGGAAAACACATTGGATCTGCAAAAAAAGGGATTCAAGGGACAAAATTGGAGATTTTGACCAGCTGAGGGGGTTTACCAGCAAAGACGGGGGAATGGTTGGTGTTTTCAACCCCCCTTGAAACACTGGTTCATCTTGGGACTTGAGATGGACAAAATCCAGCTTCGATTGGGATTCAGATTTGGGGAAGTTTCCACTGTCTTGAGACATGACCGCGAGAGATCACGACAAATCTATGACTGTACTCCACTTGCAGCAGAAAAAACCCTTTCGGATACCCTCTGTCAGGAAGATTGTGACATAAACAAAGCTTTCCACCCAGTCAACTAACATATCAATGCGGAAAATTGACCATTTATAGATGATTTACCTATTAAAAGGTAGTGTTGTTTTCCAGGGTTATATGGCAGTTTACCAGAGGGGTTTCTTGGATGTCGAAATCTGCATGTCGATTTGGGTGTGTGTGATTTTTCGGGACAACCACATTCCATACATTGGTTCATCAACAGTTTCCCACCACCGTGACACCGCATCCCCCATTCTTTGAAGACAGACCTCAAATCATATCTTGTTCGTAAAATATATCCGCATTACATCCCATTGTATCCTGGATATCCTCTTTATCTTCGATTATAGTTGAGCAAAACCCCCAGATATGTTCGATAAATCCCCATAACATCTCACCATCATGTTGTTCAATCCAATCCCATCCTTATGACCTATGACCAATGACCAATTACCAATATATATATAATTATATATATATATGATTATATATATATGATTATACATTACCACTATCATTGCTATCATTATCATCACTACTATTACTGGTGCGTTTTACATAGGGTTGCTGGATGGGTTGCTGGGGGTTGCTGGGATGATTATGAATTACTAGTGATCCAGTGGGATCATTCCCGAACATTCCCTGCGTAAAACGCACCAGTAAGATTACCCTCTGGTAAACTAACAGTTTGCTATGGAAAGATCCACCATGCTATTAATGGGTAAATCCACTATTTCAATGGCCATTTTCAATGGCTATGTTAGTTTACCAGAGGGTAAATCTCCATTAATCACAGCTGATAATCATTGATTATCATTATTAACCACTATTAACCACTATTCCTCTCTGCTAGTTTACCACTATTAACCACTATTAACCACTATTAACCACTATTAACCACTATGTTAGTTTACCAGAGGGTATTACCAATGACCAATGACCAATGACTTCCTCTCTGCTTCCCCTGGCACCTTGGTTCCAAAGCGTCCCGCTCGGCCCACACGGTGCAGGTACGAGTCGCCTCGGGCCACGCGGAGAATGATTGAAATCGGAAAAATCCATAGGAAAATCCATAGGAAACCCATCGAAATCCTATGGCTAATCATGAAAAATCCATAGGAAACCATGGTATTTACCAGTAAATCAATGTAAATCATCGGTGTATTGGACGGATTTCATGGGTATCTTTCGGATTTTTTACCATCCAATGGAATTCATGAGAGCCAGGAAATGACCACAGTTTTTACCATGCATCAGGGAGTTCTGTGTTCCTTCAATGGAATTGCCAAGCGAAAAAGGAGGCCAAATTTTGACCCACTGGAGTTGTCGTGCAAAATATCGGAAAGCCCGGCACCAACAATGGTCAGTCAGCCATGAAGACATGGCCTGCTCTGTTGTGATGTTTTGTGGAAGCACTCTGACAGAGCATTGCTCTGCTGTCCAAGCAATGAACATTCGGAGCCATCTTTGGTTGCTCCCTTCGCGGTTTCGACAATGACGAAACTAGAATGATGATGATGAATGATGCCCCTGTAAATGGACTTCTCCTAAATGGTTTCATTTTCTTCAATGAAAAGATGTATAAAAATCATCACAAAGTAGCACAAAAAAAAAGCTTGATGCATTCAAACTTCAACCTATAGATGACTCAACTATTCCATGAATTACGACTGCCTCAACGAGCCGCTGCCTTAGGTCCAGTGACTCTCATCGGGCATATCGTAGTTGATCACAATGTTGACCCTCTCGATATCGATGCCCCGGCCAAAGAGATCGGTGGAGACCTTGCGATGAACAAAATGGCTTCGGCTATCGATACCCATTTTTTGAGAAATCAGTAGAAATCATGGTTGAGTAAGGTCGAAAACACGTATTTGGGACCACTAAAACGGGGGTGTTGAATATTTACTAGGATGGGATTTGTTTGGGCTATAGCGGGCTTGAGACTCATTTGATTCATATACTGAACCAGTTGTAATTGAAGGAGTGACCTCTCACTGACCTCTGGGCAGGGGGTTCTGATGGTGGCAAACTCCCCTGCGGGTCCCCCCCAGAAATGTTCCCATGTTTCAGTGGAATTGTATGAATTCTATTGCAATATTCTCATTTCTCAGGGGGGAGTGATAAGAAAATGATTGGGAAATTTCCCTCTGGTAGTTCAACATAGCTATGGAAAATCAACATGTTTCATAGGTGAATCAACGAACTTTCGCCATTCCACATAGCAAACTGTTTGAAAAAACAGGTAATTTCACAATCCCACCCCTTCCCTTTCCGAGGAGCCATGATTCTCTTCTGGAACTCCTTGAATTGCTTATACCTTGCGATTCGGTCCTGGGAACACAAAAATTGGTCAAGTTTAAGACTCAAGAGATCTTTCCAATTCCTAAACATGCAAGGCTGCCCCCATTTTTATCATCCATTCATAGATGGGATTTTTAGGATTTTCCATGAAATAAACCATCTAGCTATTGGGATGTTTGTTTCAGATTTTCCTATGGAAAAAAAAAAAAAAAACATCCAGCGTCGCAGCCCCAATCAGTTCACCATCGTCCTCCTGCTGGAGCCCGGAGTGGATCGCGATGGAGGGAAAATTGCACTCCACCTAAGGGGATCATTGGCATGGCATTCCAGGGTAATCCTATAGCTTTTAGGCATTTACTGCTGGAATTTCGTAACTAAAATCCATCCTTTTTTTTTCGGAGGGATCTAAAGCTGATATGTTTTCTCCCTACGGTAAGTCAATGGGTCAACCCAAAATGTCTTGGTCTAGATGAAGATAACCATTGTTATAAGGGCCCATATCCCAACAAACGTGGGGGGTTCAGTTCACCATGGGATCCATGAGTTTGTAAGCTCAACCACACCAGTGGGGAATAGCTCTGCAACCTGAGTGAAAAATCGAAATCCTGGAGTAAATTGTGTCACCCCATGTGACTTTCATCGCGTTTTCATCACATCAACCAATTCTTCATGGCGTTAATTTTCAGATGTTCATAAAGTATGTTCCTTCCATTTCCACAGAAATTCAGAAATCAATATAGTTCTTCTCCCATTTCCATGACTTCACATAGTTCCTCCTGCTTCGATATGTCATGTTTCCGCTCGGACCGCCCAACCGGATCCCGCACCAGCAACTTGTCCAGAGCCACTGCACGTTGCACCGACTTCACGAAAATCACCACCTGGCACTGCAGGCGATCCGTGGAGATTTCTGTTTCAAAATCGGGGAAAATCCCCCTGGAATCCATCATGATTTGAATTCTTACTGATGCGTTTTACGTAGGGAATGGATGGGTTGCTTGGGGGTTGCTGGGATCATGATAGTTACTGTGGATCATTACCGAAAATTCCCTGCGTAAAACGCACCAGTAAGAATGGGGTAATGGCCATTTAAGGTGAAAAAAACATGTTTAGTGGATCATTGCTTGAACATCCCATTGCGCACCTCGAAAAACCATCTCCGTTGTCTGCAAATGATGTATCCCTCATCCTTGGGATACACCATGGTGATAAGTGATGATATTCTTGATTAGATTCTTGGACATCCTTGGGAAACCCATCAAAATATGCTTTAATATACTATCATTTTCGCAACATGAAAGAGCATCAAAAAAAAAATCCCACATCCCAAAAAACACCCAAAAACCCGTCCAGTCAACCACCAACATCCACCAACCGCAGCTTTTCCACCAGCTTTTCCACCGCTCAGGTGTCAAAGGTCTTGAGTCGACCACCGTTCAGGTCCCGCAGCGCAGAGATCATCTTGTGGTACTCGTCCAGCAGCTCCTCCACCTCCGAATTGCCGTTGCCAGCAAAAATTGGGCCATGTTCGCCCCAAAAAATAGGGAGAAGATATGGGAATATATGGGAATATCTGATGGGCGGAATATCTGATGGGAATAATTATATGGGAATATGAGCCTCAACTGATAGGGGATTTTTTTTTCTGGGAATATCTGATGGAACTGAATTTGTTGTCCAACCAAAGGACATGATCTGAATGCAGATATTCCCTCCCCATGGCGGTCCAGAAGCCAGAAAGTTGAACCCGCAGTCCACCAGTTGTCACCGCTCTATGTTGATCAAAAAAAACATTAGTGATATCTATGTGTTTGAAAACAGGGGAAATATCTCTATAAGTATTATCTACAGTGTATTGTGTATATACATGCGTATACATATATATATATACACATATATATATATATATACATATCATTATGTGGGGATGAGTCAAAACCTTGTACCCCTTTTGTTCACATCAAAATAGCTGGGATTTATGGATGTTCATCCCCCTCTAAAAATGCTATAGGTATATTGATCCATCCCCACATAAAAACTCTGTTTCCATACCACAAAATCTTCCACCTCTCCGAACAGCAAATCTTCAGCATTGCGATCTTCGAAGTTGAAAGTCACACCAGCATCCATCAACCACAGTGGCAGTGCTGGAGAAGCCTTGTCACCTAACAACAAAGGGACCGGGAAAGATCCAAGGACCATAGATACCCATGGGCCATAGATACAATATATTTTCTACCATATACACATATATATATATACATATGTGTATGTATGTGTGTACCTTTATTCATCCAATATTTCCTAATTTATCTATTTACACATAGGGGCATAAACGTCTCAAGACATAAATGTACGTCAGCAATCGTCAGCATATTATGAATATGGACATTCTGGATTGTATTCCCACTATAGTCCCATGACATACCAGCTATATTACATGATACCCTCTGGTAAACTAACATAACTATGGAAAATCACCATTTTTTATGGGAAAATCCACTATAAATGGCCATTTTCAATAGCTATGTAACAAATTACCAGAGGGTAACCCCATGGTTTTTTTTTCGTTCAACGATGTTCAACGGCTTTTTTTATCCACCGTCCCGTCCCCGCCAGGCGTCCATCGCGTCCATCGTTTAGCTCTAAGGAGGTCAATCGCTGCGAGCTGCCGCAGAGCAAGACGAAGGCGGAGGCGAAGTCTGCCAAGCTCTTGCGCTCCTGAAACACGTTTTGACCGTTCTAGAAGGTGAAGTACGTAAGATTTTGATAAAGCAAGTGTTACATATGTATAGATATATAATTGTAATATATATATATAATTATATAATGTGTAATTATGTGTATATATATATTTATAGTATTTTATAGTTGTAGTAATAGTTATAGTTATAGTTATAGTATGTTATAGTTGTAGTTGCAGTTCTTTAATAGATCAGTGTTCTTGTTTTATGTATTAATAAATGATAGATAATGATAGTATGGTGATATGATGATAATGCATGGTGATAGACATAGATATAAACGATACACGGTGATAATATGTGGCAACTAAAAAGAAAAAACATAAATGTTACATGTTGATTTATGATTGGATGATCTGCAGTGAGGGCTGGGAAAACGGGGAGAAGGAAGTGGTGAAGTGGAGAAAAGATCTTTGGAAAGGATGTGGCAAATCCTTATGACGTTGGGTGTCTCAAGACGAAAAATGGGATCCAAATGGGCCATCCAAGATCATCAGGCACCTCTGGCGTCATGCGCGACCGGAACGAGGTGGTAAACTCCAGGTTGGAATACAAATTGGACGGCGAGGCTTTCAGAATTAACGCCGCCAGCAGTGTGATCCAATGGGATCCATTGGCGTCAGCGGTGAAGACGCGTTCCACCAGCAAATTCTCAGAGAGCCGGATGGCGTTGGCGAAACAACTCAACTTGTCCTGGACAAAAACACCAAATGAAGGGTCAACCGGTCAACCGGTAGAATGGTAAGGTCGAAAATCATGGGTACCCGTGGGGAACCAAACAAGCGGTTCAATTTTCCAGGTTCATTCCTCAGTGAAATTCGTCATGACGCCGAAGCCCTTGTGGGACACTGGGGGACACCAACTTCGCTTCGAGATGGTTGATCGTTCCTGAAGTATCCCCAACCAAGCCATTGTTCCTTCCTACCCAATTCTCCAAAAAGCTCTACAAATCTCCAAAAAGCTTCACATCCAAAAAATCCACACCAATCCACTTCATTTCACCACTTATTGAAAATCTTGAAAAACCTGAAAAAAAAAAAAAACTCCCAACTCCCAACCCCCCCAACCGCCCCATCCCCCAGCCCCCCCATCCCCCAGCCCCAACCCCCGGGTCCCGCGGGGCGCGGTACTGCTCCACCTTCCTCAGCTCGGCGGCCGCGGCCTCGAAGGCCTCGCGCTGCTTGGGAGTGAACTTGGCCACCACCTGGGGCGATTTAAAACCGGGGTGGTAATTTTTCCAAGAAAAACGCTATGAGTTTCCCAGAAAAATGATGAAAAAACTGAGGATCTCATGGGATTTACATGGATTTACCATGATTTTACGGTGAAATCTGGTGATTTATAGGAAGTGGTGATTTTTTCACCCATCAAAATGCCGGAATTCACCACTAAAAATGGGTGATTTTTCACAAGACTTATCCATAAAGATTGGTGGACCAAGGGTCAAAAGATCTGTGAACTAAAAACCGTGCTTGATTGACCAAGCAAAACTGGTAACCTATGATTTATTCAACCAACCATCTATCATGTTTCGCCATGAAAAATGGGGTGAAGTCAGAAATGTCTTGACTTCACCACTTCACCACCTGACCCATGAAGATTTCATCGATAAACATGTGGGATTTACAGGAAGAAAAAACGTTGGATTGAAGGGGATCTTAAGCAACCAAACATGTTGGAAGCAACGAACATGGTGATCAAGTCATAAACATGTGGCACATGTGGACTTCAGCAACCAAAAATATGGATTGAAAAACAAAAAACATGGTATTTATCGAGACTTCACCAGCCCTAACAGGGATAAAAAATATTCATGATTTGACCAATAGGCCTGGGCCCTGGGAGGTATGGCGTGGGAGATTCTCCTCCAGTTACATCTCAATGTTATGTGGGTTAAATGATTGAAAATGCCCATATCATTTTGCTTGCAAAATACACATTCTTGTTCATTGAACCACAAATGTGATCCAAAAATATCCAAAACATTGCTGTTGAGTCTGCCATTTTCGCTGATTGCCCATACTTGCTGCACCTTTCACTTGTTGGTTCTGATCTGCTGACTTGCAGGTGAACTTCACGTTGTTTCTCAAAAACCAGTTCAAACCCACCAAATGCTGCTAAAATACCTAAAATCTGAAGGTTATTGGAGGTTCAAGATCATATGTCTGTGGGAACCCTCCAATTTTTCTCCAAATGGTGACACTCCTCCGCCCTTTCGGTGCGCCTCCTGCATGGGACTCGTCTTCGCCTTGCTGCGCGCCTCACGCAGCAGCTGCTCCGCGCGCTCGTCTTCGCGGATGTCCGCGGGGTCGTGGCGGAAGAGAAGCCTCGCAGCGCGGCGGATCCTACGGTGTCAAGCCGGGGCAGATCACGGCTGACCCCCATGAGACATGGCATGACCGGTAGAACTGGTGCTTGAAAAAATAATATATATATATATATTATAAATATCTATATATATATATATCAATATATATTATAGATATCATATGTAGATATATCCCATGGTGGTTGAAAAAAAACCTGGATATAGATGACATGTTGCGGATCTTACCGGCGATGATGAAATGTCGTCGGAATCCATGGGGAGAAAAGCTCCAGCTGAGCTGGGCAGACTTGGGAAGTCAATGGGGAAAGCTGGGCAGCGATTGAAAAGTCAGCCCTTCGACCCATCATATCCATCATGCACCCGTTGCCGCATCAAGCGGCTTGTAGAGCTTCAGAACCACAAACTTCTCCAGGCCTTCTCCTGCTACCTGCCACGATTGCCAACCATCTCTTCAAGGCTCGATACCCTCTGGTAATCAGCTCGCTGGAAAATGTCCCAGCGAACTGAAGCTCCATTTAGTTCAGAGATTTCCCATGAAAACCTCCATTTATAGCGGATCTTCTCACATGTTCCTATGATTTTCACATGACATCCCCGAGAAATACGGTATGATTTTCCCAGCGCTCCTCGCCATCCTCACTGCTGAAGGCGTCGGCCTGGGGATTTCATAAAAACTTTGCTAGATCCTGAGGTGGTACGCCTCTCTGGTACATAGCTGTGGGTAAAATCCATCCATTTTGAATAGCTCCATCTACAGATCAGTCAATTTGCCATATACTGGGTATAGCTCTAAATTGCAGAGTCTGAGGCAAAATCCCATGGAAACCTCAGAAATTGCCCCCTTCAAATTGCCATAAACTGGCGGTATCCACTATTTTTTGAAAAAAAAAATAGTAAAAAACTAGGCTTTACCATGCTATACCTACCTAGTTGAATTCAATGGGATCTTACCTACAAGTAAAAAAAGATCCCAGAACCCACCAAAAAGCCCCTCTTTGGGACTCCAAAACGAACCGATTCAGTACATTCCGCAGGGCTCAACCGGGCGGCCCTTATTCTGAGGAAAAATGATCGATGTACTTTTGATCATAGAAGATATAGAAGGGCTACCATTCACTGGATTGATAAAAAGGGAAAATCTTCACCGGAAAACCTTGGACTTTAAATGTTTTACTATCAAAATTTAGCCAGGTTCCTGTAAAAATTTACCCTGGAACCATAGGAACTTCAGACCTGACCATCCAAGCATCAAAACCGCCACATCCAAGCATCCAATCATCCAGCAATCGTCCAGCAAACATTAAAACCTTCATTAGATTAGAAAAACTATATTTTCAAAAAAAAAACATCTGAAAAAATTATTTGATCATAGATCACACAAATTGAACTTATGTTGTATATCACCATTTCTGTCGCGTCAAGGTTAGATTTCTAGCATCCCTTTCCATGCTTGATGGTTACGTCATAAATCCATACTGGCAGTGGAAAAAGAAAAGGGAAAACATACCCCATGAATCGCATTGTTTGTATGTTTTTTGTATATCTGTATATAGATAGTTCATCTTGTGAAGTCGGCTTAATTAGATCATATAATTAAACAATAAATTAAACCCTTTGAGTCGTGAGAAATTTGGGGTCCCATTTAGTAGCAGATCATGATCTTTACCCTGTGAAGTCATGTCAAGTGCATCCGAGTTCCCCCATTTGAAGCATGTGAATTTTTGTGTAGACGATTTAATGATTACAAGAAATGGTTATCAATTGAAACTATGATATACATTGATATACTACAATCAAAATTACTCCCTTGGGAATACCGAATTACGAACTTCATAATGGTGGTTATTTAGTAACCCACGAAGGTTGATGCCAATATATGTGGGAAACCAGGATGGAAATGCTTGATCTTTCCGGCGTATGTTCAAACATTGTCTAACTTCTCGGCATCTTTTTGTGGGGCTGCTAGATACTATTAAAGAAAAAAAGAAAACATTGCTACATATTGCTACCCTTCGATGTGGAAAACACACCATGAATGTAGATCATTGATTTTGAACAGGAAACAAGTTATGTTTTCCACGCGCCTTTTTGTTTAAGTCTAACCATCATATTAAACAATGAACCATCTAATGGCTAGAATGGTGAATGACTTTGCATCACCATTTCAACAATACGTATGATTATTATAGCCACTATCACACACACACACAAAAAAAAAAGAAACGTTATATGGCAGTGTGTCAAAACCTTGTACCCCTTTTGTTCACATCAAAATAGCTGGGATTTATGGATGTTCATCCCCCTAAAAATGGTATTCATAGGTATTGATCCATAGCCATATAACCATCTAATATCCCCTTGCTTCGCGCAGCTATGCGCAGCTGGCGCCTGCAGCAGCTTGGGCGTCAATTGCTTCAAAAAGCCTTGGATCCTCCGCGAAGCCGCCAGGCGCGACAGGTTCGCCGGGAAGTCGTTGACGAAGTCCCGGATCTCGTTGACCACCGCCTGGCGAACGGCTGGGGCGAAGAGGACAAAAGCCATGGGGAATTCCCGGAGATCTCTTGAGTGGCGAAATTGTTGCAAGAGTTGCAAGGAATAAAATTGACATTTTGGATTTTGGCTGCAGAAAAACTCGGGCAGTGGGTTCCACTTCCGATGACAAAAAAATCGGCATTTTGATACACAAAATCCATCCGGGTCCGCCTGGGCCGAAGGATGTTTGAACCTCTCCACGAAGTGCGCGTAGCTATACCTCGGTGAATCCCCAAAACCCACGAACTGCGGTGCAGAAAAAATCCCTTCCCCCGTATATAGGAAAAACCACATGAAGCCCTTTTAATGGTCCCAATGGAAGGTGGAAATTCCCTACTAAAACCCATGGTTTCGTTGAGGGGTGTTTAAAATTAGCACACGTCAATCGGAAAAATCCCTCTTTTTCTTTCAGGCGATACTCCTCTAAAACTATAGACTTAGAATGAAAATCCATCAAACCGTAACTCATCGTAACCAACCAACTAACCCAAACTCACCAACTCATCGCAACATCTTTCCCCAACTTCCATCTTTTCCCATCCCAACCTCCAAGGCCTCCAAGGTGCCCCGATTCCCTCGGCACCAGTGAGGCTTCCGCGCTCTTCTCCTCGGTCTCCGCATCGCCGTTGACGCCACAACTCGAGGACGAGCCGGGCTCGTCACCCGGTGGCTCGCTGTCGGCCATGGCGGTGACGTAGCGGTTGAGGTAGATGAACTGTTGGGATTATGGACTAAACCTAGATATGGACTATATAGATATATATATATAGTTTGATATGGACTAAATACAGTTAGATATTGTGAGATAATGTTTGATAGACCTAGATATACCTAGATATGGTTAGATATGATTAGATATGGCTGAATCTAGTTCCATCCCAACAGTTATGGACTAACCATTTAACTATGGAAGATATCTCGAACTAGTTAGCTGGCGGAAGCTAAACCAAGAAACAGAACTGGGATCGAAGCTGGCTGGGTGTGTGTTTTTCTACACTTTCCATGGGAACATCTAGCTCAAAAATCATGGTATGGGGGCAAAAATAAACGCCCTTCCAATTAGATGTGGAGGTCATCCAATCAGGGTCAAAAACCTATGGTATGTTCTTCCTCGAGGGCAATGAAACTATGAAATGCAGGAAAGCTTTGGGGTCTTCTTTGCTGAGTCGACATCTGCGTCGAAGCCCACGAATGGGCCGAATAGACAGAAATCCTTTCCAGCCTTGAGAAAACAGCTGCAGCCATGCTGGGATGTGTTTTCCATGTTTTTTGTGGGATCTGTTTGGCCTCCCTCTGGACCAAACAAATGACCCAGTCCCAAAAACACATTTTTGGGATGGTCCTTTCTAGACATATGGACGTATCGACCTTTCCACATAAAGGTCATCTACCACTCAGTTGCAAACCCTGGCAACCGACATCAAACTAGCTGGTAGCCTGCTGCAAAGTTACATCCCCATGGAATTCTTTGGATCTAACCCCTATTGATCCTATTGCATTGCTGGGGAAAAGTCTCCATTCGTTCAACTCATCCCTATTTTGCTATTTGTGGCTCATCTTGGATCCCCTGCACAAAACAAAACAATTAAAAGGGCTGGGTTTATTACATACATACATACATACATACATACATACATACATATATATATATATATATGTGTGTGTATATATATACATCTATATATATATACATCTACATATAATATATACATATATATATTTATACATATTACCTATTGAACGGTTCATGCAGTATATACAGTAACCCTTAAATCCCCATCAAAGTGGCTAATAATACCTTCTGGTAATGACCAACAGTATGCAATGGAAAATGACCCATGGAAGTAGTATGATTTGCCTGTGAAAAATATCGCCATTTGAACTGAATAACCATGGCAGACTGCAAACGCCAAAGTGGAAACACTTACATAACTATCATCAACTTTACTCCCAGATTCTTGATGGTTAAACCAGGCCATTGATGATTGAATTCCATTTTTTCACCCTAGACCCTCAAGTGTGCCCCGCATCAGGTTCACCTGATTGAACTCCAAGGCGTCGAGTAGATCGTTAAGCTTTCGATTCTTCTCCTGGGGACCCACTTGATGTCCCGATCGGTTTTTCGCAAGTTGACCCAGGTCAAGTTGACCCGACTTGGTGAATGATTCCTTGATTTTAGATGGATTTTAGATGGATTTCAACCATGAAAATATGGGGTTTTGAAGTGACGGAAGTGAATCTAGCTGATAAATTGGATGATTGATGATTCGCTTGGGCATCATCAACTTTATCCAATATGTTGGGAGTATCAGTATCCATTTTATCCATTTTCACAGGGAATCCCGTTCTCAACCAACCAGAATCAAAATGGATGACATACGGGGGTTTTGGTCCCACTACTCACATGAAACATTTAGGATTCTTTCAAATTTAAATCATGTAAACATAAAAACATGGTCACTTTTTTTAGACGTCCACAAAACTAACATTTTGTTGCTCGTTATGGATAGTTTGTCCATTTATTTCAACAAAAACTAAAGGATTAAACTATCCGTCCAGTTGTTTGCTGCTTCCACATCTTAAATCCCACTTAAATCCCATATATATATATATACTATATATATATAAATAGGTGGTATGGTTACCATTCCAAGTCATGGGTGGTTTATGGCATAGTTTCACCCACATTAGTAACCATTATTCACCAATAATCATCCAGTAATCACCATTATTTTTCACTATGCACCATTATCCATTGGTTATCCATTGGTTAACCATCTTCCCAAATGGGTGGTTTCTTTAAATCCGATATTTTTCGCCCAAGATCACCGACATCACCGACACCAACGCCATAGTGACCTTTTCGGTGAGCTTCACGTAGTACTGCAGCAATCCATGCAGCGTGAGCTTCGATTCTTCGTCCACGCGGATCTCGTGCGGGTCCTGGAGAGGCAAATAATTCATGCCATCCCCCTGATATATGTAGATATAGATATAGATATAGATATAGATATAGATATAGATATGGATATAGATATAGATATAGGTATAGATATATATAGATATATATAGATATAGATATTAGATATAGATATAGATATATATATATTAGATATACATAGATACATAGATAAGATAAGATAAGATAAGACAAGATAAGATAGATGAATAGATGAATAGATATGTATATATCTATTGTATATATATATACATGTAGTGTATGTATATATATATATATTTATGTGTAGTGTATATATATATACAGTGTGTATATATATATTGTATATATATATATATGTCTACAGAGTGTTTATATATATATGTAGTGTGTATATATAGTGTATGTATATATATGTGTATGTGTGTTGTGTATATATATATATATGTCTATAGAGTGTGTATATATATATATATGTAGTGTATATATATATATATACGTAGTGGTTATATATATATATGTGTAGTGTATAGATATAAATATATATATATACATATATATGTAGTGTATATGTATATATAGGCTCGTCCCCGCTTCTGGAACCACATGGGGTGGGGGGGTGGGGTGGGGTGGGATGTTAACGTTCATGTGACCTTGCGGCAGGATGTTAACGTTCATGTGAACTTGCGGCAGCAGTGGATGCTACGCACATGCGGGGTGGGGGGGGTGGGGTGGGATGTTAACGTTCATGTGACCTTGCGGCAGGATGTTAACGTTCATGAACCGCGCAAACCTGAATTAGGTTGGTAAAACTTGTCCATTCCGTGACGAAATTTCGTCGCGGAATTAACAAGTTTCATTAGGGTCATTATCATCATCATCATCATTATCATGATGATGATGATGATGAAGATGATGATAATGATGATGATAATGATAATGATGATGATGATAATGACCCTAATGAAACTTGTTAATTCCGCGACGAAATTTCGTCACGGAATGGACAAGTTTTACCAACCTAATTCAGGTTTGCGCGGTTCCAGAAGCGGGGACGAGGCTATATATACATATATAAGTAGTGCATATATATATATAGTTACGTATATCTATACATACACATGCATATGCAATTTGTATGTTCCCCAGTATCTACCCAGTATCGTTAACATAGAAGTGGGACCCAGTAATACCAATGATGTTGATTTGCGAAAATGTCACAGGTGATAGTCACCCCATGCCCGGGTGCCTGCATGAACTTCTTGCAGAGCTGTCGGGTCTCAGCCGACATGGTGGCACTAAACATCATCACCTGGCGCTGATAAACATCAAACGACGCAGTGCGGAGGGCGGGGAACGCAGTGCGGGACTGAAAAATGACAAAAAAGTGGGGACTGAAGCAACACAAATGAGATGTTTCCAAGGAAAATGAGATTTCACCAAGAAAAATGACATGTGGTCAGGAAAAAAAAAACTCAACCAGCAAATGATGCAAATTTCATCAATACAAATTTGGAGTTCCATAAGAAAAGTTCAGGGGTTCAAGCAACAACACATCGAGGAGCGTCAACATTGATCCTGGCCAGATCACCCCACGGACATGTCTTCGTGTTCGCTGCATGAGCCCCTGCACTCCGGTATTCAGTATCCCCCCTTTCATTGGCCGTACGAGATTTGGGTGTTTGAATTGGATGCCTTTGTCCAAGGGCTGGGGACAAAGGGTTCTTGTTTGGGCCCATTCTTAGACACTAGTTGCTTCGTGCTCCGCGTTCTTGTACTTCTTTGCTTCTTGAACTTGTTTGAGCATGCAAAAGCAATGACTAAATAAATCAATAAACAAATAAGTAAATAAACAAATAAGCAAATGAATAGTTCCAGTAGACCGCCAAAAATTGCATATGTATCAGTGAGCAACTTCGAAAAAAAAAAGAACGCCTTCCGAAATCCAGCTGAGACATGGCCAACAGCCCATCCATCATCCACCTGCTTCTTCTTGGGAGTCTCCAAGAAGATCTGTTGGACGTCCTGGTGTAATCCCCTTGGACAGTCCACTGGATCCCACCGACTTCACCGCGAAGCGTCCCGAAGCTTCGAGGCGTCCTTTCGCATGTCCACCTTGTCCAGACATTTGTCGCACTCGTCCAGCACAAACTGCTGGATCTTGTCCAATTTCAGATCCTGCCAGAGGGGATGATCCTGGAGTCATCAGCCCATATCCGCCATATCCCATGAATCTCATACCAGAAAGGTGACTTTAGACAGGATTGTTTCACCCACTCCCCATGATCCCACGAACAGAAGGACTTGTTTTCCACGGTTCCCATCTATTATCCCAGTGTCCCGTGAAGAGCTTGGAAGCCAGATGAGCCCAGCTGGTGACCATGAAAACACCATGTTTTTCCAGTTGTTAGTGATAAGGATTTATTTATAATCTATACCACTGTAATGTCAACCCCGGATTCATAAACCATGGTGTATTAATTAGGGGGGTACTCCTCCAATAGTCATTATCTGATACTTCAATGGTACCATCCCAATTAAACAGCCGTTTGGGGTTTATTAATCAAGGGTTGATTGAAAAAAAAACACATTACAGATCATTATAATATATGACCCAACTAATTGACCATCACTCCCATGACTCCCATGACATCTCCGTAAGTTCCAATGGCTCATCCAATGGCTCCAGCGCTCCTTCTCGCGCACCAAGCCCAGCACGCGGCCGGGCGTGCCGATCAAAATGTGGGGACAGGAGTCCTGGATTCACCCAGCGATCTTCCCAAAACGGCCTTCAAAAAAACACATAGAATTTGGGCTACAAAAATGGTAGCTGAATATCTTGAATATCTTCTATTTTTGAAAAATGTATAAATTGAGGAATCCAGCGATCGACTCAAGCCGACCAGGGCATCTCCAGTATCCTTCAGCATTTCTTTGTCTTTGGACATCGGAGTTCCACCATAGACCACCGCGGGCTTAATCTCCTGTCCCGGTTGCGCACCGCGCACCAGCTGCGCTTCCCAAGAGAATGGCCAACAAGTGGCGCGCTTGTTGGATTTAGGGATATTAATAAGTGGCACCCAGCAAAACCTACCATTCACCAGTCAGAATCCAAAAGACAGTAATTACTCAGCCGGAAAAAGCTGTTGTAAATTCACTTCTGAAGAATAGACCATAGGCTAATAGGCAAAACCACAGTTGAAAGACCTCCCCGACCTCCCCGACCGTTCCCCTCTTCCCCTCGCACCGGGAAGTATTTGGCGAAGCGTTCGAACTCGTGCTTGATCTGATAGGCCAATTCCCTGGTGTGGCAGATCACCAACGTCCTCACTGCCTCACAAAGGCCGTCAGGCCGTCAGGGCTTGGTTTATGATCAAAAAACTGCTGGATGATCCAGAATTCCTTGAGAATTCCTTGAGAATTCCTTGAGAATTCCTTGAGAATTCCTTGAGAATTCCTTGAGAATGGAAGGAACCGTACCTTTCTCCAGTTAGAATAGCCGCACAAACTCAGGACAGGTCTGTTCCGACCCAACAAAGAAAAGGCTCAGCGGCCCATCTGTGCGGCGGCTGGTCACACCGAAACTGAAAGCCATGGAGTTTGGTTCTAGCACTCCCCTATTAAAACACCACCATTTATGGTCAAAAAATATGTAAATCCCAATATCTAAACTATATTAAACTATGGTTTCTGGATGTTTCGTTTGGGGCTGTCTCATATTGGGAATAGATTCATTGCCACATCCCCACGTCCCCACGGAGATCCCCGCCTTCTCGGAGGAATCCACCTGCTGCAAACAGGCCAGCACGAAGACCGCGGTCTTTCCCATGCCCGACTTCGCCTCACGACAGAAACTCGGAGAACTCCACGGAGCATGACATGAGCATGACTGAAAATCATGAAAAATCGCAGGATCTCCCACTTCTTTCATGGTGAAAGCGGGTCGATTTCACATGACCAAGACTGGAGCATGGCCCGCATGGCGCTTTCCCGCCTGGCACAGGACATCCGTTCCCAAGATGGCCTGATAGCAGACTGGTGGTCTTTCCATCGCTGATGGTTGTGAGAACACTTTTTGGGGAGAGGAATCGCTACAAGTGAATATGAATTCCTTTCCCCACAGTGCGCAGTATGCATTGCGCAATGGTGAGAAATATGAGAAATTATTATTTAAGATTATATATATATATATATACATGTGTACTATGTGTATATATATATATATTTATTTAAGCAGGAAATGACCGAACGGCCGAAGCAGGCTGCGAAACTCCGCTGCGCCTGCGGGATGCACTCGTGCTGCACCTCTGAGGGATGCTCGAAGCCACAATCCACGATGGCTCGGATGAGCTCCGGCCTTTGCCAAAAAAAAAGGGCGGGCCCAAACTCAGGTGGAACTTCCGCAGATGTCCTAGTTATCTGAAAAAATTACGGCCCTAAAAAAAGGTGGAACCTTTTTTGTTCATAGTCCCATTTGGCCATTTTTTGGAGATCAAAATAAAAACGGAGTGCCACAGCCCTAGATGAGAACTCTGATCATCTCCCAAAGTGCTGGGCCAAAATGCAGTGTTGACTCTGCTGTAGACAAAAGGGAAACCATAAGTTTTCCACATCTATGTTAGTTCGCACTAGGGTTTAGCCGCAATGTGGGTAAACAATCATAAACAATCCCCAAGACATCACCATTTCTATAGGTGGTATGGTTACCATTCCCAGTCATGGGTGGTAAAAATGGCATTGGTTTACCAACATTACGTGAGTTTCTTGGTTGAATACCCGCTATCTCCGCTATCTCCAGGATAGTCGGGGATGGTCATGGTCGACTTGTCACGTCGTTGTTGATGGGAAAAAATGATGTTTCCTGTACTGTTTTCTCGCAGGGAACAAATGAAATACAGATAAATCGTGGTAAATCGTTCTTTTTCAAAAAAATATGATAAATGATGTAAACCCATGCTTAAAACCATCACAAATTGATTTTGATAAATGATGCGTGAAAGTGAAAACCATGATTTTCAACCATGATTTTTTTTTCTCCATGTATGTAGATCCATGTGACGATCAGGTGGATCACATTCCGACCTACCCCCCATTTTTCCAAGCAGCTTCAGCAGGAAGTCCTTGAAGCCAGAGGCGTGCAGCGCTGCTTGGCCCTTCTTGGCCTTTCAACGCTTTTCGCAGGGCTGGGGAAAGGTGGGCTTCATCAATCCTTATGGACCGCTCTGGGGAGCTGAATGGTTTTTTGTATCATTGGGGAGCTCAAAAATGGGATTGAGCAATGTTGTGATAAAAATGTCACGGGGCTTGAACCATCAACACTTACTGTAAATCGAAATATCACTCAATCGAATAGCTAAACCACAACCAACAGAGCTTCAAACCCCAAAACAAGGCCAAAAGACAACCATTGTGTGGTACTTTTCTGGGGATCAAATACTTCAAACAGTCCAAGCCACATTTTCACCAAACCTCCTGTGAAACCAGCAATTGGTTGGGGTTGGGCTTGGCCAGGGAGCCGACTCAACACCATTGAAGCATGGCACAAATTTCCGGTTGGTATTCCTTGGTGAGACCGGGATTTTTCGAGAAAGTGTTCAATCGCCATGTGATTTGTTCCATTCTTCGATTGAGACCTGAAAAGGACGAAAATTCCAGTAATAAACCTTAGCTCTCAGAGCAATTAGCAATAAACCAGCATTTTGGGGGAAAAAAACATCCCCCTTTTGATTACATCCACATGTTTGGCTATCCTGGGGTGCATCCAACTTTCGCAAGTGATTGGTAAGCTATGTACTGGGGGTCTAGCCGGAGTCTAACCTATCTATAATGCATTACAAGTTGATGCTTACTCACTTCGCTGGAATGAGTTTCTAATCGAAGTGGGGATATTTTCTATCAAGTCAAATCAACTTCATAACTTGTTTTCCAATAAGATTACAATAACTTAACAACTTAACAATTCAGTTTCTCATGTTTTAATTGGTAATCAATAACATTACCTTGGTTTTTGCTGTTTTTTTTAATAAAAAAACAAAAAAAAAAACATATGTTCTTCGACGAAGATCTCCCACGGCTCACGCCCCGTGGAGCCTCGGCATCTTTCGACTCCTCGTTCTTGGCGTCCTGGAAAACCAAGACATCTCTTGGAGATGGCACTGAGTTAGTTTAGATGGCCTTATACAGATATATTATATGTATGCTACATATTATATATGTATGTATGTATACATATTACATATATATATATATATATGTGGTATACTATGTATGTATATATATATATATATATGGTGTGTATATATATATATATATACATATGGGGGTTCCATAAATATGGGATCTCCAAAATGGATGGTTTATAATGGAAAATCCTATGAAAATGGATACACAAATATTAATATAACTATTATTTGGCCACACAGAACTTCACAGAACCATCTATGTTTTTTATAAAAACCATCTAGTGGGGTTGCATGTAAATATTGCTTCAAACCATAATTGGGCCAACAAAGGCCCAATTACGCGAATCTCTTCAAGCTGACGCTTGGCACCACAGCAATTTGGGGATGCCACCAGTTCGCTTCGACTTGTCCCCATTCAGTGGCTTATCCCATGGATTTTCACTATGGTAACCACAAACACGAGTCGTGGGATGATCCTCCAGGTACTAGGTATTTGAACCATCCCCTGCTGGTTAAAAAGCATGCCCTACTATTGATCTGTGACTGGTCCAGATTCAAAAAGCCTCCCATGGGCAAAATTAGCCACATCCCAGCAATCGATAAAACCGACTCTTTGCCCTCTGTCCTAGCGATTCACTAAACATCTGGGTGAACATCACCAGTGTTTTGTTACTCTCAACACACGTTGCCTCTTCGTCGAAGTCAGGAAGCTCCTCTTGATCCTCGTTCGGACCAGTGGTTGTGGGAACCGTTTGTTTAAGGAAGGTTTATAACTCCAATAGATCTCCAATAGCCAGGATTTATGGTAGATCAATGGAACTACTTAGATGGGGGGCACCACCTTACAGGTCAGACTTTTGCGTGCACGTTCGAGCTGATACCCAAGGAGTATGTAAGGAAGTAGATACAGGTTGTTCACCTACAGTGATGGGTTACCAAAGAAAATTTGGATGTATAGTAGACCCGCACAGTGTACAGGCCATTTCAGGTCCAAAAAAATGGGAGGGCCATTTTTTCGGAAGATCTCGATCAGCACTTTCGGCCCATTTCAGCAAGTCTCCCCTCCATACAAAACATCTGACAGATCTGGGTGGTGAGATCCCCATGGTGAGAAAAAACTCACTTTTGTCGCTGAATGTCAAAAGTATGTAGACGGAACCCAGTCGTGACATTTGTTTTTGGGGTTAGACCTGCATTTTTGAAGGGTCACATTTTGTTTTGCAGGTCATTTCTGTTTGAGCTATATATGTGAAAAAGAAAAAACAAGGGCTTCGTTGGAAGTGCATCTGCCTAAACTCCCACAGCTGCAGCACCGCTCCTCCGCTCCCATTGCTCTCAAGATCTGACTTCGCGACGTCCCGGCGTCGCGGATTTTGAGGTGTTCACAGCTGCGGCCCAGAACGAGGAAACTGCCAGAAAGTGAATCCAATGATGCCCTCCAATGGGTAGACAGAGACAAGATACCAATGACTCACAAAATTGTCATACTTTGTTTTTCACTATTCAATTTTTGGGGGTCCCAAAATCTTTTGAGCAATACCCAAGAGGACCACAATCATTGAGGAACCGACCCGGGGTTACCCATAGCATCTGCATCCCCTAAATTTGGGTTCCACGTTGTATAAAGCTAAATTGAGGTCGCTGCATATTCCTAAGAGAATTCCATAAGATCAGCATAAACTATGGTTCTATCCTATATATATATATGTATACATATATTATATGTATAGATATACATACATGTGTATACATATATGTAGACATATACATATATGTATACATATACACATGTATATATATTTGTATATATATATATATATGCGTGTGATATATATATATATATATATGTATGTATATATATATATGCATATGTATGTATTTATATATATATATATATCCCCAAGTAATATGCCCATGTGAAAAAAGTCGGGGCTGTAGCCAGCTCCCATTGCGTCACTTTGGCCGCCCCACTGCTGCCGACGCCGCCGAAGCAGACCTCTGTCATGGGAGTCGCAGCCATGGCTCCCGGGGGTTTGTCGGACTTAGAATCTTAGAACGACTTAATAACTGTTGGTTATACATATATATATATATGTATATATATATATTTATATGTATACATGTCATCTGTTTGGTGGTTTCAACCCCTCTGAAAAATATGAGTTGGTCAGTTGGGGTTATTATTCCCAATGGAAAAATAAAAAATGATCCAAACCACCAACCAGATATATATATATATATATATGTGGTGATCATCAATAACCATCCATAAAATGTTGTAGCATGGTTGATATATAAATGGTCAATGGTGAGTGGGTCAAAAGCCTGGTACCTAGCCCAAAAAATCGTTGAAAATAGCTGGTAAATGGATGTTCATCCAGAAAAATTGATAGGTTTTGACCGGTCTCCAGTTGGGTTGGGTCAACTTGGCATGACGCTGGTGGATTACTGATGACTTGAGAGGGGGGGGACGAAAGGTAGGGGGGGAAAAGACAGGAGGGAGAGGCAAGAGAAGGTGCGACTGTGTGTAACGCAAGCACGCCGACGACGACGACTACTACTACTACTACGACTACTACTACTATGACGACGACTACTACTACTACTACTACGACGGCTACTACTACTACGACGACGACTACTACTACTACTGCTACTACTACTACTACTACTACTACTACTACTACTACTACTACTACTACTTACTACTACCTTTACTACTACTACTACTACTATTACTACTCCTCCTCCTCCTACTGCTACTACTAAAACTACTACTACTACTACCACTACCACTACCACTACCACTACCACTACCACTACCACTACCACTACCACTACCACTACCACTACCACTACCACTACCACTACCACTACGACTACGACTACGACTACGACTACTACTACTACTACTACTACTACTACTACTATCACTACTACGCCCAGGCCCGTTAAACTTTACATTCAATTGGGAAGATCAACAAGGGTATTAGGGAATATTAAACTCCCACCCCCGTTAAACTTTACATTGAATTGGGAAGATGAACAAGGGTATTAGGGAATATTAAACTCCCATCCCCGTTAAACTTTGCATTCAATTGGGAAGATCAACAAGGGTATTAGGGAGTAGTAAACTCCCACCCCCGTTAAACTTTACATTCAATTGGGAAGATCAACAAGCGGATTCATGACTTCGTGGAAATTGCGTTGAAGAGTTTGCCGATTTCTAACGTTAGATGTACAAGGTAGGCATTTTGGACAAGAATCGGTTGGAAAGAAACTTTTGGAGTTTGAAAAGCTCACACAAGCAGCTGGAATGTTTGTGTGCTTGTTGTTGGTGAATCGTCATTCTTGTAGGTATACCGTGTTGTCAGCACGCGGACTCGTTGGACGGGCCTCCAGGGAGTCGACTGAGCTAGTTGTTGACGCTGTGGAGGCGCTTCCGCCACGTCTACATACAGTATCGTTTTTTGTTCTGTACATTGACGTTCCGAACTCCGAATACGTGGACCCGGTGGAGGGGCCTCCAAAGGGTCAACCAAGTGAGGGGTTGACTCTGTGGAGGCTCTCCCACCGGGTCCACAGAAACTATTGTTTTTGGTTAGTTGTTGACTTCTTGTGATTTCTAGCAAGTTTACATAAAGTCCAACTGGGTCCACAGAAACTAATGTTTTTGGTTAGTTGTTGACCTTGTGATTTCTACTAAGTATACATAAAGTATCGTTTTTTGTTCTGTACAAGTACGTTCCGAACTCCGAATACGTGGACCCGGTGGAGGGGTTTCAGAGGGTCAACCAAGTTAGGGGTTGACTCTGTGGAGGTTCTCCCACTAACAAGGGTATTAGGGAATATTAAACTCCCACCCCGGTTAAACTTTACATTGAATTGGGAAGATCAACGAGCGTATTAGGGAATATTAAACTCCCACCCCGTTAAACTTTGCATTCAATTAAGAAGATCAACAAATGTATTAGGGTATATTAAACTCCCACCCCCGTTAAACGTTAAACTTTACATTCAATTGGGAAGATCAACAAGGGTATTAGGGAATATTAAACTCCCATCCCCGTTAAACTTTGCATTCAATTGGGAAGATCAACAAGGGTATTAGGGAGTAGTAAACTCCCACCCCCGTTAAACTTTACAGTCAATTGGGATGTTGATGATGTTGATGATGATGATGTTGTTGCTGATGATGCTGATGATGATGATGATGTTGATGAAATGAGGGAAAAATTCGTCATCCGTTTGCCCAAACGAACGACACGGGGAATCTCACAAAACATTGGCCCTGCGCAGTCAAAACGCACTTTCCCGGGCAGCACATCCGTCCTGGCCGTAGTACTACTACTACTACCACTACTACTACCACTACTACTACTACTACTACTACTACTACGACTACTACTACTACTACTACTACTACTACTACTACTACTACTTTTACTACTACTACTACTACTACTACTACTACTACGACTACGACTACTACTACTACTACGACGACGACTACGACTACGACTACGACTACTACTACTATCATTCGTATGGCACCTATCTCACTAGAATTTACCAAAGAACAGAAAACATAATTTTTTCGGGGTTGCGCTTCATCTCGCCTCGATGAAGCACAACCAAGTGCTTGGGAGCACAACCAAAGTCATTTATCGCACAAACATGAGCTTGGTTGCGCCCCCAAACGCTGGGTTGCGCTTCATCTCGCCTCGATGAAGCACAACCTTGGAAAATGATATTTATTTTATCTTCTTTGGTAAATTTATGTCATCCAGACCGTAGCATATTCTAACTTCGCGAAAAACGCGAAAAAAGCGAAAAAAGTATCAACGTCGGAAAAGCGAAAAAGCAAAGCAGCAAAATCTAAAAAACACAAAAGCAGAATAAAAGGAGAAAAAAGAAAGGAAAAACACGGAGAGGCTCAAAGGGAAAAATGAAACAAGAGTTACATTTTTTGTTTTTTCACGCTTTCTTTCAAGTTTTTCGACAGGCAAAATAATCTATGGTCTGGAAGACATAAATTTACCAAAGAAGATAAAATAAATATCATTTTCCAAGGTTGTGCTTCATCGAGGCGAGATGAAGCGCAACCCAGCGTTTGGGGGCGCAACCAAGCTCATTTTTGTGCGATAAATGACTTTGGTTGTGCTCCCAAGCACTTGGTTGTGCTTCATCGAGGCGAGATGAAGCGCAACCCCGAAAAAAATGATGTTTTATGTTCTTTGGTAAATTCTAGTGAGATAGGTGCCATGCGAATGATATGAATAGGGGTCAGCATGATGTTAACGTTTATGTTCATCGTGGCACACCCAGTGGCGAAATGCTTTGATCCAAACATATCCGACGGCGACATGATGACATGATACACTCCACTACACCACACTACATTTCACTACTCTACATTGCACTGAATGACACTGCACCACAAATAGACAGGTAGACAGGTAGACAGATAGACAGATACACAGATAGACTGATAGACAGATAGACAGATAGACAGATAGACAGATAGACAGATAGACAGACAGACAGACAGATAGATAGATAGATAGATACATAGACAGACAGATAGCCAGGTAGACAGATAGATAGATGAAAGAGAGAGAGAGATAGATAGATAGATAGATAGATAGACAGACAGATAGATAGATAGATAAATAGATAGATAAATAGATAGATAGAGAGAGTTTTGAGCGATAGATGGGTGGAGAGATAGAGAGATAGATAGATAGAAAGATAGATAGATAGGTAGATAGATAGACAGACAGATAGATAGATAGATAGATGGCTAGATAGATTGATAGATAGATAGATAGGTAGATAGAAAGGTAGATAGAAAGACAGATAGACAGATAGACAGGTAGACAGATAGACAGATAGATAGATAGAGAGAGATAGAGAGAGATAGATAGATAGAGAGATAGATAGACAGATAGGCAGATAGACAGATGAAAGATAGATCTAGACAGATAGATAGATCGATCGATCGATAGAAAGATAGATAGATCGATAGATAGATAGATAGATAAGTATATAGATAGAGAGATAGATAGATAGATAGATAAATAGATATATATGTATAGATAGATAGATCGATAGATAGATATAGATCGATAGATCGATAGGATAGATAGATAGATAGATAGAAGGATAGATAGGTAGGTAGGTAGATAGATAGATAGATAGATAGATCAATATATAGATAGAGAGATAGATAGATAGATAAATAGATAGATATATATATATATATAGAGTTAGAGATATATATATATATATAGATAGATAGATCGATAGATCGATAGATAGGTAGAAGGATGAATAGATAGATAGATAGATAGATAGATAGATAGATAGATAGATAGATAGATAGATAGATTGATTGATTGATAGATAGATAGATAGATAGATAGATAGATAGATAGATAGATATAGATTATTGGTAGCTGGGGGTGTAAGCCAAGTACATAGACGACAGTCCATTTGGATGACTTAGTAAACCAGAGCTATGAAACATTATAAGTGGTATGACGTGTCCAGTGTTGCTTTCTTGCTTGGCTGTGACGAATTCAGAGCCAACAAATGCCCCACAGAATTACGACCGAGTTTGTGAGCGGAGTAGAAAAACTCGGTCGTAATTTTTTTTTCCTTCTACAATGCCCGAGAAAGGATTCTAGGTGTATGTTGCAGACCATGGGGCCAGTTGACTATGGCCACTAACCAGATAACTCCTTTGTATCCATGTATGTTTGTAAATATGTCTGTCTGTCTGTCTGTATGTATGTATGTATGTATGTATGAATGTAATGTTATGTAATGTGATGTAATGTTATGTCACATTAAGTCGTGTAATGTTATGTTATGTTACATCATGTATGTCTGTATGTATGTCTGTATGTATGTATGTATGTATGCATGTATGTATGTATGTATGTGATGTAATGTTTTTCACACTAAGTCATATAATGTTATGTTATGTTACATCATGTATGTCTGTATGTATGTATGTATGTATAAATAGATACACAGACAAATCGATCGATAGATAAATAGATAGATAGATAAATAGATACGTAAATAGATGGATAGATAGATGGATAGATAGATAGATCGATAGATAGAGAGATAGAACGATATAGATAAATAGATAGATAGAAAGAAAACAAAAAAAATAGATGGATAGATAGATAGACAGATAGAAGCATCGATCGATAAATAGATAGATCGACGGCTACATAGATCGATAAAAAGATAGATAGATAGATCGATAGGTAGATAGATAGATACATAAAAAAATAGATAGATAAATAGATATATAGATACACAACTGACTAGATAGATACATAGATAGATAGATGGATAAGGAGGTAAGTACATAGTCAGAGACAAAGAAAGAAAGAGATGCGGACGGGGGGTCGAGAGATAAATAGATAGACAGACAAATCGATCGATAGATAAATAGATAGATAGATATAAATAGATACACAGATAAATCGATCGATAGATAAATAGATAGATAGATAAATAGATAAGTAAATAGATAGATAGAGCGATAGATGGAGAGATAGATACAAAGATCGATCGATAGATAGAGAGATAGAAAGATATAGATAGATAGATAGATACATAGATAAACAACTAAATCGATCGATAGATAAATAGATAGATTGATAACTAGATACGTAAATAGATGGATAGATAGATAGATAGATAGATCGATAGATAGAGAGATAGAACGATATAGATAAATAGATAGATAGAAAGAAAACAAAATAAATAGATGGATAGATAGATAGACAGATAGAAGCATCGATCGATAAATAGATAGATCGACGGCTAAATAGATCCATAAAAAGATAGATAGATAGATAAATCGATAGGTAGATAGAAATAGATACACAGATAAATCGATCGATAGATAAATAGATCGATACATAAATAGATAAGTAAATAGATAGATAGAGCGATAGATGGAGAGATAGATACATAAATCAATCGATAGATAGAGAGATAGAACGATACAGATAGATAGATAGATACATAGATGAACAACTAAATAGATAGATACATTGATAAATAGACAGACCGAAGCATCGACAGACAAATAGATAGATCGATAGCGACGAAATAGATAGATACATGGATAGATAGATCGATAACGAGTTACGTACATAGTCAGAGAAAAAGAAACAAAGACATGCGGACCAGGGGGGAATCGAATGGGGGGGGGGGCCCCCCCCCCCTAAGTCTCCGTTCGTGACTCTCGGCTCTCAATTTCCGGGAAAGGCACATCGACCTCCCCCAGTACTAAACTAGTACTAAAGTACATAGAACTCAGGTAGCCTAGGCTACCTTTCGTGATATTGGTTGATACTTAGGAGGACTTTCTTTAAAAATGCAACCAGATTTTGGATAAAGATGACTTTCATGTTTTTTTCTATGCCAACACAAATCTGGCACAGACCACCAAAAAAAACAAATGTCTTGTTTGACCTGATCTCAAAAGTTTGGGAACCTCAACTTCCAGGGGAAACGTCTCAACTGTTGGGCTGCTTGATGACGCAGTCAAATACTGGCCGTCAGTTACCATCTGGTGAAGTCAAATACGTGGCAAAACAAAAGGCAACCATTCGCGGATGATTTAGCTGTGTCGTCATACGGAAACTTTGACCCAAAAGACTTCGAGAAAAAGCTTCTTGACACCAGAGATGGTACCCATTGGTACCCCATCCCCTCCTCCAATTTATTGGTCACTGATTTTCACCAAAATAACTATGTTCAATGGGCCCCGTGAAACGCGACCTGGGGTCACCGGGCTCCAAATAGTACCGGCTCAACACCTGGCCGGGTTTTTTCGGAGTTTGTTGCTGGGAAAATGATTGAACTACCATCTTGTTATGACTAACATAGCCATGGTTATTATGGTCCATAGAAATAGATGGTTTACCGAACTTAAAAATGGGTGGAATGGGTGGATCTTTCCATGGCGAACTGTTAAATAACCAGAGGGTAAGTGTTTGAGTACTGGAGGTAAAAGGAGGGTGATCATTTTTTACACCATCTGCTGCGGCAATCTTCATTCAATGTAGGGAGTGGGGATGATTGTCCCAGGAAACCAAGCGGCCACAGTCTGGGTCTAGCGCAAGCGGGTTGCCCATGGTTCGGCAAAGGACGATCGTATTTGTTTGTCGTTGTTTTCTCTGAGTATTACAGCATTCAATTTTGGAAGCCAACAGTTTTGAACCATACCCATGCGTTCAAGCAGGGAAGTACGCCTAACTGTTCCAACAGAAGTAGACTGATGTGATGCCAAAAGTGTAAAATCTACAAACCTACACCCACGCAGTGACATGGAAGCCCAAGAATGGCAATGTAGAATAAGACATCTATCCTTCCAAGTGTTCATTTAGAAAAAACATACCAGTGGATTCGCTCTGAAATTCAGAACTTCAGCGGGATATGGTATATATACACTCTGGTAATTCAACATAGCTATTAAAAATTGCCATTCAGTTCGTTGCTTTTCCCAGCTATAAACCTGCATGTATAGTGGATTTCCCATAGTTGTCCTATATTTTCCGTATTTTACCAATTCCTAGTGGATTTACCTCTGAAAAGCATTGTGATTTCCGGCAATGTGCACTCGCCCGACGTCACCTGTGCACGTTGCTCGTTCAGCGCAAGCTGATTCAACTGATACTGCGACCTGCGAGATCGAAACTGGAAGATGGTAGTGATTTAATGGGAATTAATGGTGATTTAGTGTGGTCTTTGAATGGTGATTTCACAGGATTTCATAGGATTCAATGGGATTTATGGTGGTTTACCCTCTAGTAAACTAACACAGCTAAGGAAAATCACAACTTGTAACGGGTAAATCAACAAACTAAATAGCAGTTTTCGGTAGCTATGTGAAATTGCCAGAGAGTAATGTTTTTCTGTATTTGATTCCATGCATATGATGCATTTAGATCAATGGCTTGGTTTTTCCGGGAAATTTTTGAGAAACCATGGCCTGTTTCAAGGGAAAAGCCATGGATTCGTCTCACAGAAATGGCTTTAACTTGGGGCCCAACCCCATTTGGAGACGTGACCTGCGGCTTGGAGATCCCATACCCCTGAGCGACAAGTGAAATTGCAACGTATCTTAGGCTTCAATAAGGACAACCACAAACATCGCCAAAAACTGTTTATCCCATGCTTGGTTATAAACACATACATGTATATGTATACATATATATATATACACATAATATTCGCATCATATCCCCATGATATCCCATATTAGTTGGTGAACCCCTGCCACAATGACGAGGCCAAGTGACATCAGGGCAGTTTGATCTGAAACTCCAGCTGCTGCATAAGCCCTTGAGGCGATGGAGGATCATCCCAAGAGAACGTGCTGCACGGTCAATGGGCCCAGTTACAACTGGGATACCCTCTGGTAAACTAACATAACTATGGAAAATCACCATTTTTCATGGGAAAATCCACTATAAATGGCCATTTTCAATAGCTATGTTAAATTACCAGAGGGTACCATGCGAATCTTTGGGAGAGGAAGCAGAAAAACACTTGCTCTGCAATATTTTTTTTGTTAGCGGGAAGTGAGGACATGGTTTGAACATTATCTAGGGCCCACCAGAGCCCTCCATTTTTGTGGGTCAAATCCTTTTTGAAACATTTCAGCGTACACAACACATGTCCAGTACAGGTATCTATCATTGTTTATCAGATATCCATCATACATTTACCCATGATGCACGATAGACAATGATAAAGAAAAATACTCATTGTACAATCATGAAGGCTTATCAGATAGATACCATCTGGTTATTTAACATCATGGAAAGATCCACCCATGTTTAAGTTCGGTAAACCATCTATTTCTATGGGCCATCTATACCATGAGGAGTATAGCCCCATATAATAACAACTATCAACCATTATGTATCAATTGCATTCTCATTTTGAATGGATGAAAATGGTGGAAATCCCAGGAAATCCCCACAAATGATGGTGAAATCCCTCTTAAATCAACTAATCAACAAGGCCAGGCTGCTGCAACAAGCGCTGCAAGTCTCGCTGTTGCTTCTCCAGTACCTGGACTGGAGTGACTGGAGGTCTCAAAAACCATGGTCGAATGGTTTCTATATGGTTTCCATGTGGTTTCCATGTGGTTTCCATGTGGTTTCCATGTGGTTTCCATGTGGTTTCCATGTGGTTTCCATGTGGTTTCCATGTGGTTTCCATCTGGTTTCCATCTGGTTTCCATCTGGTTTCCATGTGGTTTCCATGTGGTTTCCATGTGGTTTCCATGTGGTTTCCATGTGGTTTCCATGTGGTTTCCATGTGGTTTCCATGTGGTTTCCATGTGTTTCCATGTGGTTTCCATGTGGTTTCCATGTGGTTTCCATGTGGTTTCCATGTGGTTTCCATGTGGTTTCCATGTGGTTTCCATGTGGTTTCCATGTGGTTTCCATGTGGTTTCTATGTGGTTTCTATATTTTTCAGAAAGCTTTTTTCTATAAGTCATGGATTTCCATGGTCATGAGTCATGATGCTTGGAATCCCCAAATCTGCGCTAACTCGATGACTAGTCACCCAAGAGATTGCAAGCCACAGCACCAAAAGGATGGTTGAAACCACAAAATCATGGGAAAAGCTACCAGTCACCCGTTGCAGGATTTACCATCCACAGTGGGGTTTCCAAATCGTCATGGATCCCCAAATCAACTCATCGCAACAGGCCCAAAACATCCATGGAGTTTACGGAATTTTCCAGGAAATGGCAGGAAAAAAAAACAACAACAACATCCATTTCCTGGCATTTTCCTCCAGTTAAAGCATCATCGTTTGCCTGTTTTAACTCCAGTGGTTTGCCGGGCCTGATGATAACGCTGTAGTTCCAGGTACTGGTCATACCTCGCGTCATACCTGACCCATTCTCTGCGGGGCTTCAGGGGAAAAAACTGCAACAGCTTCCGGTACCAACTCTACACTTCGATTCCCAGATCAGCCATGTTGCAAGATACCCTCTGGTTATGACTAACAGTTCGCCATGGAAAGATCCACCATTTTTAAGAACGCTAAACATCGGTAAACCATCTATTTCGATAAATGGGCCATCAACAAACCATGGCGAACTGTTAGTCATAACCAGAGGGTTTTTCCTGTTGACCACTTCCCATCATAAAGCCAGTTCTTTTGACCGAGCCAAGAAGAAAGACCGGATCCGACACCTTTCACCAGGGCGGAGATCGCTGCGTCTGGTTCATCATCATGTTCCCCAAAAAACAAGAGTCATAGATTGAGCGAAATAACCACCATTTTCAAACAACCCCCAAACACCCAATTATATTGCTAAAATATACATATTATATTATATATATGTTATCATAACCAGTTATACGCCCATGAAGTGCCACCGAATCAGTAACCAACCATGATTTTTGTCATCATCGACGTGGACCCGCTCGCCAAGGCGCATCTGCTGCTCCTGGAAATACTCTGCCTGTGCCTGTGATGATCCAATGCGAAACATTGCACCGTGATTCACTGGAGATAAACAAATAAAACCATGATATCCATGTGATATCCATGTGATATCCATGTGATATCCATGTGATATCCATGTGATATCCATGTGATATCCATGTGATATCCATGTGATATCCATGTGATATCCATGTGATATCCATGTGATATCCATGTGATATCCATGATTCAGCTGGAATTACGTTCAATCATCTTGAAGAAATCCGATCATTCTCAGACTTTCAATCGTATCATGCAAAGGTTTTAAGAAAAAGAACAACAAAACCTGTTGACAGGTGTTTGATTGAGTGTTGCAGCACATGGGTCTGAATCGTTATCAAAGCTGTTGCAGCCATTTGAAGTACCGCAAATGTGGCTTCGTCTGATAGTAGAGTAATTACCCCTTCACCCCATGGTTAATGATAATTCATCCATGAGAATGACAACTTTGGGTATACCCCATAGACAAACCTATATAGCTATTGTTGATATTTATATATATACATATCCCATGATGATTCCCATTAAACCCGACTAAATCTCATTTAATCCCATTAATTGATGTTTCATCTAAATCTGATATATAATTGTTGTTGGTTATTATATATATATCGCATCATACATATATATATATATAAATTATCCGACTATATTCCCATTCTATTCCCATGGAAACCTATTTTTCCTTGCCATTTCCGGCCTGGGCCTTCGCCGGATGAACCTCGGATGGCTGGCGGAAAATCTGAAAAAAACTGTTCTAGATAAAGTCGTTTCACCTGTTTCAGTAGTAGTAAATGTATGTATATATATAGTTTCACCTATTACACTATAAATATGTATTATATATATACACAGTATATATATATGTATAGATCATCGAAGTAGCATCCTGGAAACACTTCTGAAGTGGCATTTTTTGGGGAATGGGAAAGTCATGGGAAAATCGATGGTTTCCGGTTGAGATTTTCCCGACTAAACCATTGGTTTGCGCGTAGAACAGAACCAATGAAAATGAAATCGCTGCAATTTGATCCATTCGTTCCCAGAATTGCTTTCTGAGGCTGATTCTGCACACAAATTCTTGGGATTGAAAATTATCAGTTCCGGAACAAAAAAAGATGTAAACATATGCAAAAATCTAGGCAATCATCAATGAATTGGTTTAAGGAAACCATAGATTGTCCCATAAAATATGGAGCTTTCCTGTAAAGTTTCCCCTAAACCAATCCATTGAAATCCAGGTCTCCTGCCCAGTTTTTGAAAATGTCCTGCCTCAAATTCCATGCAGATTGGTGCCCGCACGGGTTCGAAGTGCCCCGGTGGGGCGCTCAGGGGCGGCCAGTCCTCCTGGTCGATTAGGGGCCGTTCAGGTTTACAAACCTGAAAAATATCTTAAAATATGTGTATTATAGTGTGTATATATAGTGTGTATAAATATATATATATATACGTATATATATAGTGTGTATATATATATACATATATATATACACATACATACATACATACATTACATTACATTACATTACATTACATAACATAACATAACATAACATACATAACATTACATAACATTACATTACATAACATTACATAACATTACATAACATTACATAACATTACATAACATTACATTACATAACATTACATAACATTACATAACATTACATAAAATTACATAAAATTACATTACATTACATTACATACATACATACATATATGTATATACATATAGTTAGTTTTATAGCTCTTTAAGAAACTTAGTATTTCTGGTGTATCATTGGTTTGGGCAAAAATTGACTCATAACCCGACCCACTTCGATGTCATCCGGTCCTTCCATGAGTCCTCTGGGACCTGGCTGGACACTCCAACCATGGAAGTTTTTGGATTCTGAATGAATATATTTATACATGTATATATAATATATATATACACTACTTTCACACACCAGAATAATCCACGATATATGATTTATAAAAAAATACACAGAACGAATAGAAACTAGCCTCTGGTAAACTCACACAGCTATTGAAAATTACCATTCATAGTTGATTTACCCTACTAAAGATGGTAATTTCCATAGTTTTGTAAACGTTTGCCAGGCTGGGTAAACCAATTCGTGTGCCCATGAGTTCAACCTTCAGTTGGTGACTCGCCCTTGAGGTGACTCACTTCGTGAATTCCAAAATCTCATGGCCAAATGGCCAACTGGATGGTAAACTTGGTAAACTTACCACTAAATGGCCAAATGGCCAAACGGCTTTCTATGCTTTTTGAATGTTTTTGGACACACTTACTGAGTCACTTTGTAGTTGCCACCATTTTCAATGACCTCCCCATCCAGACCCATAGGTGCACCTCACGTCGTACTCGGCGTCGCTCATCCCAGGCCTCTCAAGCGCTGTTCAGATCAGTGCTGTAATTTGGGGCCATCTTCGTCAGATATGTGGGGCTGATAACTGGTATACTGAGCATACCATGGTATACAGTTGGTATACCATTTAAGCCAGGACCAATACATCGCTTCTTGGACCATCTTGCGGCGAAGCAGATTGGTGTTGGACCATCCAATTGGAGATCCATCGCCAGATAAAGGCCTCGAAATGTCGCTCCTGAAATGGCCATTAAAAACGGGGATTCGAATCCCCCATTTTCGGACACATGAAGTTCTGGTGGTCAAATATTCCCATAGTATTCCCATAATGTTCCCATTCAATCCCACAAAAATCCCAGTAGATCCCATGACAAATCCCAATAAATCACTAGTAAATCCCAGTAAATCACCATGTATTCACCATGAAATCACCAGTGAATCCCAGTAAATCACCATTAAATTCCATTTGAAGCGACAAAATCTGAATTCCATGGTGAATCTCGTTGAATCCGCCGACCTCTTCCTCACCGCTCCCCACTTCCGACGGCGAGGACGAAGGGGTCCCCGTCGTCACAGATCTCGGATGCGAGGAGACGGATGTGCCCGTGTAAGATGTATCTTTACTGGTTGGTGGTTGACCTACCCCTCTGAAAAATGATGGACAACTCGTCAGTTGGGATGATGACATTCCCAACTGAATGGGAAAAAAAAACATGTTCTAAACCACCAACCAGTTTATGTATGTTGCATAAATCTAAATGCATATATATATATATACACATGTGATGTATATGTGATGTATGTATACATGAAGAAATATTTATATATATATATATGTCGCTATAGGGAAACAGTAAGTATGCATACATGCATGCAAATATAGTTGCATAGAGGGAGAGAGAGTGGGCATAAACATGGTGCCGGGCATTTGAGGGGGCCCTCGCTGTTGTCACTTTTCAAACATTTTACAGGGGGGACCACAAAACGCTGAAAAACGAAACTTTAGCATCAGTCGCAATTTCATCATCATCATCATCACCATCATCATCATCATCACATCATCATCGTCATCATCATCATCATCACATCATCATCATCATCATCATCATCATCATCATCTGAATGTTGATCATTCTGGAGATGGCACAGCGTACAGCAGCGTAGCACGACGTATGTGTGCAAGTGCATGAGGACGTACAGCAGCGTAGCATGACGTATGTGTGCAAGTGCATGAGAACGTACAGCAGCGTAGCATGACGTATGTGTGCAAGTGCATGAGAACGTACAGCAGCGTAGCATGAAGTATGTGTGCAAGTGCATGAGAACGTACAGCAGCGTCGCATGACGTATGTGTGCAAGTGCATGAGAACGTACAGCAGCGTAGCACGACCTATGTATGCAAGTGCATCAGAACACACAGAAGCGTAGCACGACCTATGTGTGCAAGTGCATGAGAACGTACAGAAGCGTAGCATGACCTATGTGTGCAAGTGCATGAGAACGTACAGAAGCGTAGCATGACGTATGTCTGCAAGTGCATCAGAACGTACAGCAAATGACGCTATTATCCCACCCCACCCCACCCCCCCACCCCCCTCGTCTATCATGTTGTTTTTTGTGTAATGTCAAAAAGTGACAACAGCGAGGGCCCCCTCAAATGCCCGGCACCATAAACATGTAGGTATCTATGTATCGCATTCACATTTTTCATGTACATCTGTATGTGTACATACTTACATACATATATATATATATACATACATACTTGAGGGATGTTGGCTAAGTTTTATCCCATGCATGGTTCACTTATCTAATACTTTTGGTGTTTAGGTTGCACGTCTGCCATGATGTTCCCCAAAATGTCTATCATTGGTCAACCCCTGGCGAGAAACGTACAGACAAAGGCGATGAAGGGAGATAGCTACCCCAACTAGCAATTCCCATCATTCCAGAATTCCATCCCGACTTATTACAATGCATCCAGATATGATGTATACATATATATATATACACATACTGTGTATATACAGTGTGTATATATATACACATATATACTGTGTATATATACATACGCAATAACAAAGTATTACCCGTACTTAAATGCACATCTATTCACAACAAGGACAGGGATCCCTGGGATCCCTGGTCCTAGTTGCTCCTGGTGATTTTCCTGCTAAACCTTCCATTATTAACTGGATTTTCAAGTGCCATGATTAGCGGAATAGATGATTTTCATAATAGTTGATTCTCATAATAGATTCTCTATACATGATTATCCCATCTGGTTATGACTAACATAGCCATGGAAAATCACCACTATTCTTCAGTTCGGTAAACCATCTATTTCAATTCTATTTCGATAAATGGGCCATCTATCCCATGGCAAACTGTTAGTCATAACCAAAGGGTATGGTATATTGTCCCATATTAGATGATTATAAACTATCCCATGGTATACATGATTATCCCAATCACCATTTTTCAGTTCGGTAAACCATCTATTTCAATTCTATTTCGATAAATGGGCCATCTATCCCATGGCAAACTGTTAGTCATAACCAGAGGGTATGGTATATTGTCCCATACTAGATGATTATAAACTATCCCATGGTATACATGATTATCCCAATCACCATTTTTCAGTTCGGTAAACCATCTATTTCGATTAGGGCCATCTATCCCATGACAAACTGTTAGTCATAACCAGAGGGTATGGTATATTGTCCCATAATAGATGACTATAAACTATCCCATAATAGATGATTATAAACTATCCCATGGTATACATGATTATCCCATAATAGATGATCCCATAATGGAAAATCACCATTTTTCAGTTCGGTAAACCATCTATTTCGATTAGGGCCATCTATCCCATGGCAAACTGTTAGTCATAACCAGATGGTATGGTATATTGTCCCAGAATAGATGATTAAAAACTATCCCATAATAGATGATTATAAACTATCCCATGGTATACATCTTTTACTAATGAATCAAAGATCTAATAGATGAATGGGATAATGAATCTATCTATCATAATAGATCATTATAAATTATCCCATAATCGATGATTCTTTGATTCTCAACTTCCCCGGGACAAGTTCTGCCATCTTTTTCCTCCAGGGATCCACACGCAGAGGGCACCGACCGCGGAGCAACGTGGACGTACTTTTCCTGGCCGGCTCCGAGCGGTGGAACGATGGGCTCCGCACCAGGTGGTTCCCATGGAAAAATGGTGATTTTCCCATCAAAAACGGGTAATGTTCCGGCCAGTTTTACCACTAAAAATCCATCCAGATATCCGAAGATCACTGGGGTTATTACTACCAGAAGTGGGGTAAATCACTAGGAGTGTCATCCCCTTCGGGCTCGGTCTTGGTGGCTCTTTCCAAAACCCTAACGCAAAAATCACCGACCAAACCGGGAGAAACATGCTGGATTCAAAAATCGCGAAGCCCAAAATTGACTGGTGTTCCATGATTTTCTGATCAACACTGCAATGACTTTCTGTGCATTCTATTCCAACATATCCCATCATGGTTGGGTTTTACACCGTTTCGCCGGTTAGATTCCCATTTACCAATTTCAAGAATTGTCAAATGGGCATATTAACTAAAACTATGGTACTAGTTAATATGGGAATACCCTAGTTAATATTATATTCAAGGGTATTCCCATATTAACTAGGCTATTCCAACTAATTAGGCTATTCACTTTTAGTTTTCGGTGAATCAACAGTTTGTTCACTTCCAAAACTAGGGTAACTAGGGCATACCAGCACAAAACCCCAATGCCAGTGGTCATTTCATTGCGATATTTCTGTGCGTTCTGTCCCATGAGATCCAAATAACCCCATTTTCTACCCACATTTGAAGGCGAATCCCAACGAAATCCCGATTTACCCATGGTTTTCCCCTATGTTTTCATGGCTAATTCTGCTGAATTCCCATACTTTCATGAATAAAACCAGCATTCTTGACTATTAAACCCCATTGTTCATGGTTCAAACCACCATGTTTCCCCATTGTTCACAGTGAAAACCACCCTTTTGCATCATGTTTCATGGCTAAAACCATCATACGGTCACCCGAACCTCGGCTCGGCGGGCCGCCGCGGCCCGCAGCGCTTCTCCGGCGCGTTCACGCAGCTCCTGGAATGGTGGGAGATCCGAACTTTTCGTCAGTGAAAGCGATTATAAATGGGTATAGTTATATGATCAATAACCTTAGATCAATGTATAACCATTGATTTGAAAAAAATGAGTGAGATTAGATGGGGACATCATCAGTGAAATGTCCTGATTGTAAAAAAGAAAAGAACTCAAAACTCGTGATTTATGATAATCCTATTGCAATCAAGGAAAATAATGGGAATAATATTGAGGATATGTCTATCATCAAGGCAAAAAAAAAGAACACACAAAACCTGTTTTTCTAATGATTATTTGGATATCATTTGATATCATCATCTATCAATGGGAAAATCGGCTAAATGAGGATATGGTGTATATATATATGTAATCTTAGATCTATTGGATCATATGAAATATAAAGATATACCCTCTGGTAAAATATAAAATGGGAAGATCGTGGGGAAATCATCGAACTAAATGAGGATGTGGGATATATATATATACATACATATATATGAGTAATGAGTATAAGGATATATATATAAGGATATTGTGTCAGATAAGTGTGGCATTACATGATAGAAATCACAGAGAAATACCCATTCTTGGATACGTATATATATATACAGACACATACACATATACATATATGTATATATAGGTCTGACTGAAAATCTCGTATGTATACCTCAAAAGAGAGTTTTTGACAGCGAAAATCAGATTGTGGTACCGTATTTTCAGACAGATATCTATAGATATCTATATCTACGCATGGATATTTCAGACAGAATATCATCATGTGGCACCATTTAAGAAACCTCCATTATTTGCAGGGCCGGCAACATAAAAATCTGTCCAACAGCCGGTGGATGATATGAGTCCCCGGGATATATAGAGCAGATCGAAAAGCAAATGAACCAATAAGAATATTTATATACATATAGAGGTCAAACAAGAAATAATAAAACTAATAGTAATACACAAAACAATCAATAAATAAATGAATAAGTAAACAAATAAATGTGTATATAAACATACACAGATATCATATGATATGATAGAAGTGCACACATGTTTATGAATCTGGAAATATCTACAAATTGTTATATATATATATAACAAAACAAGTGCATATATGTGCATGCACCAGGCAGGCCACAATGGGGCATCAACTGATCTGGGACCCCTTTTTCTGCAGAGAGAGAGAGGGAAATGGGTTTTGTTCCTGAAAATCTACAGCAAAACCCCAAAATCTCGATTTTATGAATGGTTGATGATCATTTTCCCCATGAAAATGGCGAAATGGTCAAGAAATGGTAGCGAAATGGGAATCACACGCACCAAAAAATCCAAGAAATCTCCCCCTTGCCAAGCCCAGGCATGAAATGGTACATGGCCGTGGCGCAAGTGAAACCCAAAGATGGAAGTTGGAACATGACATTACTACCACTTTGTTCGAGATTATGGACGTTCATGTTCAACCTCAAGGAAGGGCAATGGTTGTTGCCAAGAAAACATCGACTCGACTCCAGAGGCTGGACGAGTCCGCCTCACGCTGTTCCATTTCCTCCGAGAAGATTCCTTCGGCTTGAGCCTGATGTTGACAAGAAATGGAGACATGATAAATTAATATACCAATGATCAATATAATGATAATCCCTGATCATTGGTATAAACAATGTATAAACAATGTAATCATCATTGGTATACCGGATTTATAGCCATTGATAAATGCATATGACTATAATAATGAATATACCAGTGGTCAATGGCTATAAATCATTGGATTTCATGATCATGGGATCGCAAGAATTTTTCATGAACTAGGTAGATGAAGAATCCTTCAAATATTCAAAGTGCTGGATATATAATGCTGTCAAATGTATATTTAGTATATCATATACTACCCTCTGGTAAACTAACATAACTATGGAAAATCACAAGTTTCAATGGGTAATCCACTATAAATGGGCCATTTTCCATAGCTATGTTTGTTTACCGGAGGGTCTGGTATATTCCTCCATGTGGGATCCCAATGGCCTGTAGCTTGCGGCAAGTGTTGAAGCCTAACACCGCATTAATGTGCTCCTGCAACGGCAGATGTTCAATGTGCGTCCGGAGCTGTTTAGGGCCAGGAAAATTTTAGAGTACAGTGACCCCCAAAAAAGAGGAGAAATGATCATCAATTTTATCTGGTTGGTGGTATACCTACCCCTCCGAAAAATATGACAATCAGTTACCCTCTGGTAATTTAACATAGCTATTGAAAATTGCCATTTATAGTGGATTTACCCATTGAAAATTGTGATTTTCCATAGTTATGTTAGTTTACCAGAGGGTAGGATGATGACATTCCCAACATGATGGCAAAGTCATTTTTTCCAGCCATGTTCCAGTCACCACCAACCAGTAAACCATCATTCACCAAAATTTTACCACAACTTTTGGGTTTTTGGGATTGGAGATGTGGGATATCTTCGGATCCAAACCACGAATTTTCGGTCTCCGCGCCTGCACTGAGCCAACCTTGGCCTGGCACAACGGCCATTGGATGGCTCTGAAAAATGATGTTCGTCAGTTGGGGTTATGAACTTCCCAAGATATGGAAAAATAAAAGCCATGTTCCGAACCACCAACCAGCTTTATTTTATCATATCTTATCTAAAATTATCCAAAATAGATACAGATTCTAATATTGGTAATAGACCATCCAACAAAAGCACTAGTGCATCCCTAGAAGACCGGATATGAATTTTTGGCTGATGATTCACCATCAATTTTCGTGCCCGGTTTGACCAAAATTGGTTCATCGTTTTTGGTCTATCGAGATTCCCATCGATGGTGAGATTATCACCGTGTCGAATCGCTGGGAAAAGGGCGAAGAACAGGAGACCGGATTTTCCCAGCATTTTTTATGTCTCCTGTTGCAGGTAACTCTGGTTTTTTCCCCAACCTTCATTGCGGAAAATCGCATCTTCGTTCCAATCTGCAATTTTCTGGGTTCCACCAGAGGGGACATCCCCATATCTAAGAAAATAGTAATAACAATAGTATAATGACAATAAAAATAATAATATCTATCCCCATTCCAAAAAAAAAATATATACATATACACATGTATATATATATATACATTATATATATATATATTATATATATACACATATTTAGTTTTGTCTGAAAATCAGGTGCCTGAAAAATATACCATCGATCCCAATGGCGCCTCACAGACTTCCACGAGGTCAGGGAATGCAACTCCCGTGACCTCGGGCTTTCATCGGACATGGGCCAATGGGATGGAGATATCACATATATATATAGTATGTATATAATGGTATATTATGTATATATACTATGGTAAATAATATGGTGTAGAATATGGATGAATATGGTGCATAATATATATATATATCATGTGCATAGCATCTCTATTAGATATAGAGTACAAAAAGGGAATGCAAACAGGATATGTAAGGTTATTGTGTTATTATGTAGAATCTTTCAAAACAGAAAGCCGGCATGACATATCATGCCCGGATGAATGTGGCATCTCTTCACAAAGGCATGGGGTTTGAACATGTTTGATACAGGATTTCCAGGTAGTTAGTCTGGCAAACCCAAAGCGATAAAGATAGAAGTTCAATCTGTCATCTGTGATTCCCAAAAAGAACAAAAAGGTCACAACTGATCATGATGACACGTATAGTACTATCGTTTTTCTCATTTGTTGTTGTTGGATGCACCCAACTCACCCAACGTAGTCAACGTCAGGAATATATCTATATCAGAAACAAAAATGAGTTCGCAAATAGGAAAAGAGTGGAGTAATTAAACAATAGAATGCACAAAGCCATGAGAATAGACCATCTAAACAACAGAATAGACAAATCAAATGCGGTGAGTTCATCAATTGACAATTGGGATATACCTATCACCGAGTAATAGATATTAATGGCAGCGATTAATTGACGATCCAGCAAGATTCGGGAGATTGTTTCCCCTCCGTGGGATGGCTGAGTGGCTGAGTCGTTTTGGGGGGGTGAACCGGGTGAACTCGGCCCCCAAAAGAAGGCCACCAATCAACCAGCATTTAGGAGTTACCTTCCTGTAAACGTGGCAAGCTGAAGTTTGTCCCCTTTTCATGGAGCTGAAAAACTGGGAATTTACTCTACAAATGCTCGATGTTCCCTTGTTATCTTTGATGTCCAGAGGGTATATCATGTTCTACCGTTGTATCCCCATTCTTGCACGTGAAAATAATGTGCCATGCTCCAAACATCCGAGGGACGTCAAGTTCTTTGGCCAGTACTGGAACGGCATCCGCCTTTTCTGTCCAAAGTTCCTACGTCCAAAAGCTGGGGCCAACGAATGGGAGGATCCTCAGTGTCAACTTCTGGTTTTTGGCTCCACTTCTTCTTGTGCTACTTTGTGGTGGAGAGAAAATGCATGGATTCCGAAGCCCGGAATTGGAGGTTCGCTTCAGTGTTTCAGATTTTTGCTGTGCCTGGAAGCCAGATCGACTTCGCAAATAGGATGTTTTGCTATATAGGAACTATTTGTTGGCGTTGTAGGACATGCTGCCATGTTAGATTTTTTCATCCGTGAGGAAATGATGTAGGGCAGAGTGATTTTACGCTTCAAAGGAACTCAAACAACACTTTTCAAAAGTACGGAAAATCTGCCAATTTTCGAACGGAAAATCAACTCCTGCGCTGTGAAAACTTTTTCAAAACCCAGATTTCCCTGTCCTCTGGGTCCGAAATCTCAATCAGAGGAGGCGGATACGGACCCAAGCGCAACATCCTGAAACCAAGTTCGGCAAAAACCATAGAAATCACCAAGAGTTATAATATACAAATATCTCAGTTATACCCTCAAGTTAAGATTCATAAATTCTGGTAAAATCCAATCTTGAGGATATATGAATTATAAACCGTCGAAAAGCCGGGTGGTGTTTTACGTGGTCACCCTGCACAGATTCTCGGACTCTCTCGGACATTGCGGGGAAGGAGGGGGTCGATTTATGCCAATTCTAAACCACCAATCATTGAGAGGATTTTTGTAGTCAATCATGTTTGCAAATTACCATTCGCAGACTTGGCTTAGTTGGCTGTGGATTTTCTCTTGACTCTTCACCCAATCAGGGGAACCAATTGACACCCTTTCCGTGGCCGTAAGGAATGACCAATCAAGTTCCAAACGATGTTAAACGGAGCCACGGTGCAAGGAGAAATTCCATGACACGCAGAAAGGAAATCCAGCCAGCTTGTCGGTATCTTCTTCTTTCGGACTTGCCACAAGATTGCTGCTTGGCTCATACTCGCACTTTTCTTGATGCTACGCAGCCACCTCTTTTGGGTTTTGTATCCTGTTGGCGGCTGCTCTCCCTCTCTCCCTCTCTCCCTATCTGGATCCAGCCCCCGGCTCCAGCGCCTCCCGTCGCTGCGGTGAGTCGCGCCCCGTGAACGCGGCCCCGGCTTGGCTCAAAGACGCTGCGCAAGGTGGCGGAATGGTGACACTGAACAGTTGCAGTTGCAGTGGAATATCTGGTAAAATCTGGTAAAGCCAATAATAAAATATCATAAACACCCAGTTAGACCAGAAATAGATAATCTAGAAAATATCCCCAATAGTTTATTTGGATGGGTTTACCACATTGAGGTACATATCCATGACCATCCGAAGTGTTCGGTGTTGTGGTACCGTGGTAGGTCTGCAGGATTCATCCCCAAGTTTAGAGCCAACCATGGGCATACCTAAGAATGGTGTGTTCGCCTACTTGAGCCATGCTCCAAATTTCCAGGACCGTAAACTAGCATGAACAAGGATGCACGACCTGTGTGGAAAAAAGGAGAGCATGCCTGGATGCGGCCTTACATCGTGTCTTCAAAGGAATAGCCCAGGTGTTTGCGGCACTGCGCGACGTCACAATTTGGCGTTGTATACTGTCTGAAGAAATGCATCGCATATGTTACGTATGTCATCGTGCGTCTCATCTGTGGATGTCTACACTATCTCATGTGTCAAAAAGACTTCCCCTTGAGCTACGGAAGTATGTCTAAAATGGCATAGCTCTGGCATACCCCCAAATGGCCATCATTTAATGCCGGAATCCATGACGAGAAAATCCCTTGGAATTGGGGATAACCCTGTGTGCAATTGCCTGAAGGTACAAAGTGGTGCCCTCAAAAGTTGGGTAAGTTGATTTTTTCTGTCAAACGTGTCATGCGTATAGGTGATGTATCTATAATATCTATAGTAGTTGGGTAGGGTGAAACTCAAGCAACGTCTAGTTCAGGGCGGTGTATCATTGGGTTCACTACATTATTATATATATATACAAATATATATGCATATGAGGTTCAGTGGGAGGAAATCCATCCAAGAGCTGCGCGGGAGGGTGGATTGGTAGCCTCCGACAAGCAAACCTAGCTGCAACAGACTAATGTGGGTAAAACAATGCCATTTTTACCACCCATTTGGGAATGGTAACCATACCACCTATTTATGGTGATGACTGGGGGATGGTTTATGACATTGTTTTACCCACAATAATCCCGCCATAGTGCTGGAAAATCCCCCCGCCATAGTTTGATGATGAGTCGGGCGATTTCCCAGCCATGTTTGAGGTACCTCATACCATCATAAGAATCCCACGAAAAATGCCTAGTTTTCATCGTTGAATCACAAAAAAATCCCATAAAATCCCAGGGCACCCAGGGGAATATCCTTAGGGTCATATTTGATGGCCGCAGGCCGATGGTATCCTTCCAAAAAAAAAACGCGGGCTGATATTTGGGCACTATCCCAAGGTTTCGAAGGAATCCCATTCATCCCATGGAATATCATTCAGATTTAAAATCGTTCGAAAAGACATGGAGATAATTAATTCCATGTTTTTCATGTGTGTATATATATATATGTATCATTGTCCCCTAATTAATCCCATTTAATATCCCCATGGACTATCCCCGATCCAAAAAAGAAAACACCGCCAGCGCCTCAGAAACGGGTCACCATACGGGGCACGACTCCTTGATGGCAAGAAACAGACGCCACTAGGGCCGCTAGGGCCGCTAGGCAAAGGACAAGGAAAAGCAACGAAAATGGCGAGTGAACCAACGATTTGATCGAGATTTCACAAGACTTCGGCAACGAAAAGGGTGATTGAGCACAATTTCACATGATTCAACCAGCAGAAGTTGTGATTCAACAGCCACGAACCTACACTTTTTTTGCAAACAATAATACCAGTGCTGGCAGTAGGAATTGAACCACTTGAACCAATCTTGAAATAGGGTACCCCAAAAATCCAAGGCAGAAAATCACTGCTTGGTGGCAACAACTCCCAGGATGGTGGCCTTCCTCATGATTTCATGGTGGCTGTGCGTTAAACCCCCCATTTCTGGGAAAAACATCTGGGGCCTTTAATGATCCGTGTTTTATCCCTGTTGTATCAACTTTCAGATGCCTTTGCGGGTCTCTCATTCGGCCATGGCCAAGTGTGTTGCTAGAAAACTATAGGTTTTGTTTGCCGGGAATCACGAAACAGAAGAAAACCCATTCGAAATACATACATTAAATTCACTTAACCATAAAGCCAAATCATTGTTTGTTGTTGAGCTGGTGTCACACCCGTTTCAAACCCACAAATGAACACCATACCGTCGCGTGTCAAGCTGAGCACCGCACCTGAATAAGCCACGTCGGAAACATGCGAAGCTGAGCCACACAAAGATCAGAGATAACCGCTGAGATCACAATGGATGTTTTTTACGGCCATACTGCAGGAAATCTGAATTATGGAAATTTATTCAGTAAAACCGTTCCACAGTGATTCAGCTGCGTTTGACTCTCTTTTTTGCAACTTGGTTTGTTTCGTAGCCTTTCTCCCCATCTTCTGCAATTCTCGCAACAAGTTCCTTGAGAATAGCTGCAGCTGCATCAGAAACATCAATTGCATTCCTGAAGACTCTGAGCTCACATCATTTCTTGAAGGTGGGTCTGCAACATTGTTTTTTGAGGGCACACGCGCCAACCATCCAAACGTATGCACGCCAGCTTCCACTTCAGCAAAATAGCCAGCTAACAAGTCCACCGGTTTGTTTTCCGAGGAGCCTTTGAGAAGCGAAAATTTTGTTCCTTTATTATCCACAAAAATAAGACAACGTTTGTTTGTGAGGTGACCTTTCAAGAGCATGAAGGCTAACACCGCCGATAGTGTCTCGGCCTCAAAAATTATTTGTTGTTTTTCCAGTTCGCCCAATACAGCTCTTCCAACCGCATCAACAGGCAGCGAAAAGAATTGTACGGTGCCCTCTATGCAGAGCACTCCACCAAGACCACAAGGTCATACCTCATCAGATTTCTCATAGCAGGCATCCGTAAAAATGACTGCATGTTGCTCCCCGAAGGAACGCACTTCCCTGGGCACATTGCTTGACAACAGCTGTTGAAAGAGTTCCAAGAAGAGGATGTCTTTGGAATTGCAATTTGTATTTGTGCCCTTCTGCAAACTCCGAAAGAACCCTTAAACATTTTCTACCAGTACGTCCAAACATTTGCGCCTCCCCAAACTGCATTCTCCCTCGGAGCCTTTGAGCCTGCTTGGCCCCCAAATGACCTTCCTTCAGGACCGCTTGCAAATCGGCACACAGCTCCGCAACTCGGACTTCAGTGTTCTGAGCCAAGGCACAACCCAAGTTGGAAGAGCCCAAGTTGAAAAACACCCCCAATGCATCACAAGCATCGGCAAAAGGGACACACTTGTCACCATCTTCCGCAAAAACCCAACCTAAAAGTTTGAACAAAGTTACAACGGTGCTTTCGGTGCAAGCTGCAAGGGCTGGTTTGCTGTACGAGATAAAATCATTGTAAAAGGAAGTCCACAGCAGTTTGCACCCAGTCACTCCAATCCACCATATGGCCCTTGCTAAACGGTGAACACTTCTCACTGCTCCAAAAGGCAGCACAAGACACCGGAAAAATTTCATTCGTTTTGAAACAGGGTCAAATACCCTTATGATCCCTTATGCATGTTTTTTTCCTCAGATTTGGCCGTCAATGCGCTGTGGCACGGCCCTTTATCCTTAGAAATACGTACATGCAGTGACCTGAGTTTGCAATAGCATTAACTGAATTAACTGCAGGAGAATCTGGAGCAGGTCACTTGGAAAGACCAAACAAACAAGCAACAAAGAACCAGGAAACAGCAGAGGGGGAGGCACACTTCCCCCAGCCAGAAGTGTGTCTCCCCCAATCAAGAAGACCACACAACCAACACCAGAAAGGGGCCGGGCCCAACACCAAATAACACAGTCCAGGTGACGCCCGGTCACATATCATGACCCAACTAAGTTCCAGTCTACCGCGGCAGCCTGTACAACAGTGAAACAGTGCAGCACTATAAGAGCCGCTTGGGACCTACGTCTACGTGTGACACAGTACTTACCCGATTGGAATCTATGAAGTTGATTGACCACTTATGGGCACCAAACTTGCAGTGCATCCCTCAGAATCCTCTCAGATTCCTCTCGATAGTGCTCGGTCAGCTCATAAGTCATCTGATGCTCTAGTGGTCTACGCCCGTCCATATCCAGCATCAAATCATCGAGCGTCAGCGTCGATGACAACGAGGGAAAGCGAGGGCCCCTTTTGGGGGCCCTCACTCGCGAAAGGGATGGCCCGTGACCGTACTCATTGGACCACCGTAGAGAAAAGGGGTGCATCAGCATCGATTTCGTGGATGGGCGTCTCACACCCAGGTTTGTAACTTCGCCATAACCCGGTTCACATGAGAGGG